TCGCTGAAAATCTTTTTAAAAAACCAACCCCAGCCATTAGGCAGAAAGACAATTGACTCAAGCAACAAGGGCCAAGAGGCTGGGGATAATAGCAGCATGTTGGAAAACCAGACTGGGTGTTCCTGCACTCCTGAATACGTTGACTTAAGGCATCCATACCTATGACAAATGGCGATGACATCAAAGAATGCAGTGATGTATTTGTACAATTGCCATAATTATGTACTTGCATCTGAAGCAATTACTGTACATAAGTATCACCATTCGCATGATAGCATTATCCACACGTGTGGTCCTATCCTCGCCATCCCATGGTTGCCCACAGTCGAAGGCTTGCTGAACAGGGCTGTTTCCTTGTCAAATTGCCCCTTGGAGAAAAAGTGGAATAAAAATAAAATGCCCTATCAATTCTCCTCATTGTCCTTCTGAAATTGCTGTCTCTTCTTTCTTTCAGAGGAAACGAACCAGATTTATTGCCCTTGATTTCCTCACTGAATGGTTATACAAGTAAGTTTCTTTGTCAGGAGTAAGTATTTGAAGATATTCCGTTTTTTTTTTCCTTCTAACAGAGACCAGTGTGTTTTAGTTTCTACTCTCAGTTTTATACATGTCTATTTTTCCCCACAATGCTGATTTTTCTAGCCACAATGCAAAGAGAAAGGATGAACCGTTTGTAGAATTTTTCGAGATCCCTTTTGTGAAGGATTGGCTAAAGGCTCAGTAAGTATTACTCGTGATTTACACCATTTCCCTCCTTTGCTCCATTTGCTATCTTGTGAAAGAGGATGAGATGCAATCTCCTTGTCCCTTTTCAGTTGCCATTTATTCTTTCTTCGTCACAATGACACCCTGACATGCAGCCTAATTTGGTTACCACTTCCTTGCAAAGATGTTTTGTCCTAGGCTTATTTGCACAGGGGAAGGGGAGGGGGAGAGCAAAAAGATTCACTGTTCTGAAGAACTGAGGCATTTCTTTAAATTTGGGCCTTCCAGTCAGTGTTGACTCCTGGCGACTGCCTGGACTAGTCCCTGCAGTTTTCTTGGCAAGATTTCCAGAAATGGTCGGCTGTTTCTTCCTAGGGCTGAGAGTGTGTCTAGCCTAAGATCACCCAGTTGGCTTTGTGTCCAAGGTGGGCCTAGGACTCACCGTCTCCCACCTTCTAGCTTGGTGCCTTAATCACTACACCGAACTGGCTTTCTTCTTTAAATATTGCTGCTCGTTATTTTGAATACCTTTATGCTAATGAGCAGGTATCGTTTACTAGCAGAAGAGTTTGAAAACTCACCATTTGGGCAATTACAGTGGAAACAAATAGTTCAGGTGCAAAGCATCACCAGATGTCTTGGAAAGCAACAAATGTCCCCAAATGCACGAACGTTTACTCCATTTTTTGTTTCAATTAGTTTTAGACAACAATTTTATTATTTTTCAGAATCTGCTGGCCAGTCTGTGCATGTACTCCATGCAGAAAAAGGGTACAGTTCTTCTGGGCATATATGCAGAGATTGGCAGCTGGCAGCCCTTGGGTTCCACATTTTTGGGTGCAGGGAAATCTTGGGGAGCTCTGTGTATGTGTGTGAGCTTTAAAATACCACAAGGATCTTGTGTAGCTCTTGATCGCAAAGAATGTAGAAGTTGCACACAGATTTGACTGGGGCATTGTGACGTTACCAAGCAACCTATTATGAGGTCATAATGTGACTTGGACGAGGGCAGTCCGTGAACTGACTCACATACTGCATTTTCCCTCAGGGGAAATGAATTTCCAAGGATAATGGAATCCCTGCCATTCAGTCCAGAAGACACATGTTTCCCTAGAGTAAGAATGTATAGGCCCCATTTTACGCTCACACTCCTCCCCCGTGGGTTTCCACATTTGATGCTGCTCCTAAGAGACCTGATTATATTTTCCTATCCTGCCTCAGTCCTTGGTGGGATGATGATTGGAATGCAGCCAGAAAGGGGCTGAATATAGTTGCTCTTCATGGATGATCTGAGACATCCAGGATGCTGCAGAAAAGAGGGGAGGAGGTAGGATATAATAAGAACATTGTGCAATATTCAGCTGGCCTGGACTTGCATTCAGATTCACCCGGCCGTATTGCCAGGGAATGAAAGGAAATAGTCCACATTTCTACATTTGTGTGGCTTCCTGTGCCATCTGCCCACGGCCAGCTGGTCTCCAAGCATCTGACTCAGGTGACAAAGGCCCTTCAGTGGGCTCGTATTGTGAAGGGTTTGGAAACACCATCTTGTTGGAGCTTTTCATCTCCCACTCTCATTCTCTGTATTCTCCAAAGAATTTCACTCCGGCTTCCACCCCTCCAGATCCTTCAGGAGACCAGCGCCGCTGCTGTTCACTTTGTTTCACTAACAGATTTCAGGAGAGTGGCGGTGGTGTGTCAAGTGTACGCCCAAGCAACGTTCCCAGCCCCCCTTCTCCTTTTCATATTCTAATGCACCCAAGTCTGTTAGTCTCAGTTGTCTTTATAGTTCACATCACTGCTAGTTTTTAGTTGACCCATAGGGCTAATTTTGCGTGGATGAGCAGCTTTTCACTCTGTTTCTCCTTCCATTCAGCTTCTCTGCTCCTGAATATTCTGTCCGTCTGTTCCTACTCCAGCTTGTCCGCCAAGCATTCATTTTCAAAACCCTTGTTTCAGGAGTTCCAGCTTCTGTGGCCCAGTGCTAATGGTGGTTACTAATCCCCCCTTCTTTCTTCACACAAAACGTGGAAAGTAGGCATAATCAGTAAAGCAAGTAGAAAGCCAAAGTGTGTATAACATTGTTCCTAACGTTTTATTCATTTGTACGGTTGAATGATACTCTGCCCTTCTTCTCTGAGAAGCCCTCAAGGGGGTTAACAAAGTTTAAAAGAAGCAGAATGCAAAAATAAAATCAAAATACAGATTAAAATTAACGAATAAATACAAAAATCTCACAATGAAAAGCCTAGAGACTAACTCGGAATGATCTATTATTGTATACAAAAGATAACGGATTAATGGCAAATGGATTCAAGTTTCGAGAAGTGAAAAGAGGAGAAGAGAAATCATGCTTGGTGTTTAAGCGAGGTCTATACTAGATTACAGGCATTTACAGGTACAGAAGGGGTGTTAGGCTAGACCAAGTGTTTCTCCTACCTTGCCAAGGATGCACTTTGGCTCAACTGAGTTTGTATTTCCTAATCTTTAGTAAAACACGGAAAGAGGGGAAGCCACCATTATTTGTGGGTTCTTTCTGGCAAGCTTCAGAACAGTCGAGTGTAACCTCATAGCCCTTCTGGGTCTGATGGGACTGAGCCGGCTTGTTTTAGGGACATCTCCCCTGGACCAACTAAGAATGCATCCTGGCACAGTCATGACTACAGTTTCATTTGATGAGCTTGGAAGGGCTTGCCAAAGTCTACCATTCTTCTCATCTCTAGAAGTTAAGCTAATGAATATTTCATGTCTACTTAATGCTCCTGAATGACTTTTCAACTTGGGTTGGCTGCTTCGCTTGCTGCATGTTCGGTGCTGTTGCTCAGTGGGCCCTTTCCTATGCATCCTGGCACAGTCATGACTACAGTTTCATTTGATGAGCTTGGAAGGGCTTGCCAAAGTCTACCATTCTTCTCATCTCTAGAAGTTAAGCTAATGAATATTTCATGTCTACTTAATGCTCCTGAATGACTTTTCAGCTTGGGTTGGCTGCTTCTCTTGCTGCATGTTCGGTGCTGTTGCTCAGTGGGCCCTTTCCTCCTGCAACGCTTTAGCACAGGGGCTGCAAAAGCAGCTGGAAGGAGGGAAGGGATGGTGAATGGCTGGAGTGGAAAAACAAGGAAATTCCTTCCCTCCCCTATTATTATTATTATTATTATTATTATTATTATTATTATTATTATTATTATACAAGCCTCCTGTCCCTTTCTGCAACTCCTCTGCTGTTTTCCCTTCCGACAGAACTGAGAAGCCCCAGCTCTCTTGCCATCTGTGCCTGCTGGGTTTGCACACTATTTCCCAGGTCTTCTGCTGCAGTTATTGCTTTGTCTCTGTTTTCCCTTTCATTACTTCAACACACCCACCACAAAGCTGTCAGGCGGTTCATCCGTAAATGCCAAGCAGGCTCCCTTTCGCTTGCTATGCGGGAAGTAACCACAGGAAGAGATTGCGGACAAAAATTCCCAACAGTGCCCGAATGTCTCCACGTCGACTTTCCTCCCCATGCATCTCCATCCCAAATCAGGGAAGGGAGCGTGCAGGGAGGGTGCTCTGTTTCTAAACATTGGCACAAGAAACCCTGCAAGGCTGGAGCTTTTGGCCCGTCAACCCCAATGAACGTCACGCTCTGCCTGGCACCTTTGACTTAGATCAACAGCCTGAGTTATCCGCGAGGGGATCCGCACACTAGGACCGGGGAGATTTTGCAATGGCTCCCTGGGTACGGTTAACATCACCCTCTCCTGTTTTGTGTGTTTTTTAATAGTTTTTACAGTTTTAATGATTGTTTTATATGTATTTATTGGTTCTTTTTGAGTGTTGTACGCCACCCAGAGTCACTCTTTTGTGAGAGGGCGGCTATATAAATATGATCAATCAATCAATCAATAATGGTGGGGCGGCAACAGATTGATGGATCATACAGGCAATCTCTGGGCAATTTTGCAGTAGATGCAGGGGAATCCACTGCGGGAGGGGAGGTCAAGGCTGCAGCTGCAATTGCATAATTGAAGCAAGTTTCCCCATCCCTTTTTAACCAGTTTTGCAAGTAAAAAAGAGGCAAGTCTTCAAGTACGCAGTTGGAGGCACCCTCTTTTTTAACCTCTCCTCCCCACCAACACCCCTGATTTCATCTCTTCTTTGGATAGTTGATTTCTTTCCTGGTGGGGGGGAGGGAGCAAAAAGACCTTGATGATCAATTCTGACATGCTTCTATTTTGGCCCTTCATGCAGAAGTGCATATGAAAGCTGTAACTGTAACTTAGCTGCCTTCTGTGGCACGTGCAGCTGTCCCGTGCTGGATTCTGCTTGAAATTCCTTCCTCCGGCAATGTTCAAAAATATTTATTTGTTAGATTTATCTCTGGCCTTTCATTCAGGAGTTCAAGGCAGTATAGGAAATGTCCCCTCCTCCCATTTTTTCCTCAAAACAACCCAGTGAAGATTGGGAGAGAGGGACTGGTCCAAAGTCACCAGGAAGCTTCCATGGTTGAGGGGTGACTAGAACTTACTCCTAGTCCAGCACCTTCACCACTACACACTGGAACATCTCAAACAGTACTTGAATGAATGAAGGTTTATTACACTCAAAGGACCTAAGAATGAGCAAAATAATAAAAAAAGAAAACAGCATGCAAGTTGACATTTCATGGGAAACAAGTCATTCAGCAAATAGTTTCTTCCTACATCTAATCACCTCAGCCAAAAATGTGGCTACCACCAAAGTCACATTTGACCTAGAGTTGGATAAAAGAAAATTTACATATGCATGGTTTAAACGACCCGGTTGAGGAATCAATAAAGGGGAAATAAAAGTTTCTCTCAGATCAGTCTACCGTCTGCAACCCAAAAGTATGTGCTCCACCGATTCTACTTCTGAGTTCTGACAAGGGCAGAACTAAACCCTGGAATCTTCCTAGCAGGACCTCTGATGGAAAGGCATTTAACTGCACCTTTGCAAAAGGGATCTGATAAGTACCATGACTTAGATTGGTTAAATATGGGGCCATTCGCCAATTGTCTTGATGATGGATGCCTAAATGAACTGGGGAAGCAGGGCGAGTTGGGTTTCCTAATCAAGTCCTGTGAGCTTATATCCCAGAGTTTACAGACAATGCTTTGTAAAAAAAACCTGCTTATATACATAGCTTCTCTCCAAACCAGCAAAAACTGCCCCCATCACGACATCTTGGATTTGAAAGCTGCTCTTGGCTTGCTTTGCTTCACCACATCTTGGGACTATCTTTATGCATCTTTTAATAACCTGCAATCCTGTGTGTGAAATAGCTGTCCCCTGAGCTACAGGGCTGATCTAAATGCAGAGAAGATGGGACATGCGTAGGCAGAGAACTTGGAGCACGGAAGTCTTTCTGGAAAATGGAAAAGATACATAGGATGGAGCTCGACATCTCAAAGTAATTGCAACAGAGTCGTGTCAAGGAATAACCCTCAACATTTCTGGCAACCTTTTCAAAACAAATCTCCAGCCTCCACCATTTTGAGTAAGTTGCATCTATAGACCCAACTAGAACAGGTATATCATGTTGATGTCAACTGTAATTAATCTGGCTGCTCCCCCATTTTTCTTGCTGATGTTAGATTTATCTGTTCCCGTGGCTGAAACTTTGCCTAGGAGGGCAGCAAGCCAAAAGGAGATGGCAAGTTGTTCTGGGAAATCCAATTCCACGTGAGCCAAGCATTTTCGTTCTATTGACGGATGCTCTGTGGGGAGCATTTAATTTTTGAAACCAACACACCTCGCACATTCTCTCTGCGTTGGTGTGTCAGCTCCGATTCATCTTGGAGTGTCCCAGCTGTCTCCTGCCACAAATAATTTATTCCCGCTTTCCCAGTTCACTTTTGATAGGCCCCTGCCCCTGCGGGTATTCTATTTTCATTTGACCTAAAGTCAATTACTAATATTCCAGCAGAGAAAAATGGACCTGGTGTGACTCCTGCTCCTTCAGACTGGAATGATTGATGTCTCCCATGATTGGCTCTCGACACGAAGTCCTTCCCCGTTGGACTTGAGTTATACATGCCATTCCTACTTTAGTCTTGGATCGGTTCCCTGACAGATCCTCGTGATTTAAAAATGAAGCCCATGGCAGGGGTGGACAGAATTCATATTGCAGTGTTAGGAAGGGTGGGCTTGTATTTCTCCGGAAAAGAATACTGGGACATAAACATCAGGGAGAAAAAATGAAATGAGAAAACTGGTCCTCAAAAGACATCGCATGGGTGCTGATTGAAAAGGAGCATTCTGAGACCTTTTTCCCCCCGCTCCTTCCACGATAAAACTAAAATTGAGTGGGCTGGCAGGATGCGACTTGTGATAAATTATGAAGTCATTGTAAAAAAAGAGGTTTCCAGACTTGTTCATCTGATCACTTTTGATGAGAATAGCAAAGATCCTGGTAGCCTCGTAAGGATTCGTGCTTTAATTATGAAAATAAGAAAAGGGAATTGAACAGTTGAAATGTATGGATTCATCTGAACCCTCGGCCAAGGGATGGATCTAATTTTTCCCCAAGGCTGAGGAATTCAGGATACTGGAGAATTTTGTTTTGCTCATATATAGAAATAAACCCAGCTCGCACTGCCTAGATCAGTGTTTCTCCACCTTGGGGACTTTAAGACGTGTGGACTTCAACTCCCAGAATTCCCCAGCCAGCAACATTGTAGAAACACTGACCTATACAAATGAGTACTTTCTTCAGGATTGCATCATGCCCTGAATTTTGTGATGCAGTCCTCAGTTCCAGAACATTACATCTAAAGAAGCGTATCTTAGATGAAACTGTATGTCAAACCCTGCATTATGGACAAAATCTGTACAACATTCTGCCTATTTGGGGTGAAAGGCATACAGTAACTTACATTTGAAGGACAAGACCTCCAGTTGAATGCGAACCTCCATGGGTGAAAAGAAATATTTACAGAACGTGGGAAGGAATGAACTGAGGCGTGAACACCCATGCAAAACTAACATGGATTGGACGTACTGTAGGTAAGTCCACCCTGATTGTGGATTGAATGCGGGCCTTTCCACTTGCCAGACATGTGCTGTACCATTAAACTCTGGATTACTGATTCCCTTGGATCTTCTCCTGCAGGCTACTCTGGAAGCAGTTAAAAAGGTGCACAAGAATCCAGGAACTTCTGATATTCTGATGCTAGTACAGAAAAATTAAGAAGCCACTATAGAAGAATTCCATTGACTGCTGTTGATCAGAAACAGGCCTTCTACGTAATGAACTCCGGTCTTCGGTTTCTGTAACTCTCCTGCTCATGCTGTGCAATGGGCTGGGCAGCAGGGAGCTTGGTTTCCATCTTGGCTTTGTTTCGGTATCGGCCAGATCTGATATTAGGTGGTTTTCTATTTCGCTTAGCTGTGAAATTTCCTGAATTCGTAAGACTTTTAGTATGCGCTGATCCAGCCCTTGTGTCTTGATAGCTCACAGCCATGTGATAAGCTGTATTGTCGTGAAGGTTCAGCTTCTTTGAAACGTGTCTCTCTCTCCCTCTCCCTCTCCCCTCCCTCCCTCTCTCTTGTCATTGTCTGAGTGTACACATTGCGCTAAACCAGTGTTTGTCTTAACCATGGTTTTGGATAAGCCAAGGAAGCCTGGGTTTATATGTAACATAAACCACAACCCATGGTCTGCAAGCTGCCGTATCTGGATGCACAAAATACATTAAGGCAAACCCAACCAATCTTGTGTTATGATTTAATGCAGCATGTGAATCGAGCCAGTGTCAGTAATCCTAGCCATGCTACGTTACAATAGTTGTTTTATTCTGAGAATAAAAGCCAGATAATCCTGCCAGTTCTTCCCAGCTCCTTGAAAAAATAGGCTCGTGTCCAGAGCATTTTCAGAACTGATTAAGACTAGTATATTTTGGGCAACATGTAAATGGCAGCATTTTGCAAATGTAAATGCAGGAATGCTTGTGTGCAGATGTGAGAAAGAGGATACTTTTTATGAGCATGCCTACTTTAAGTCCCTAGCATCTGGCTGGGTACAAGACTAGGCAAACAGTGTTTTGTTTCAAAAAGAAAGATATTTGTGTTCATAAATTGCCCAAAATGATGTATGATTTTGAAGTGAAAATATTTGCTCTAGTCCTAGGCCTCCCGTTCCTCTGTCTCTGTTGTTCACGGAGGAACAAGCCGGCAACATTATCCAATCGTTCTGGAGAGGTCATCGGGTAAGAGCCATCTCTAATAATTCTGCTTGATGTTCAGTCTGCGCAAGAGCTGTTGGCTTCAGGGGAACCCCCTGCGCATGGCTTCAGCCCCAAGTGCTATAAATGTCTACAAAGATGCAGAGGGTTCAACAGGATTTGCATAGCAGCTGTTTCACAGTTGAGATTTGGCCACAGGAGAAGAAAGTTGACAAGGTGAAACTCTGCTTTTGTTTTCTGCCATACAGAAGTTCAAAAGCAGAAGTGGTCAGGGGCCAGGAACTACTTCAAGCCAATGTCTGTGTTGCCCCTTGTCCTTTTTAGTCCAGATGATAATCTAATAAAAACTCCATGTGTCATTTGAGAGGATGAAGGGTGTCAGCAAACTGGGGGAGAAGAAAAAGCAAAGAACAGGAGGCTTGGTATTTGAGAAGGAAGGAGAAAAGAGAATGTAGGAGAGAGGCATGAAAGGTAATTTGAAAAGAAGTCATAAGGAGAGGAAATGAAGGAAGCTAAGAACATACAAAGCTGCTTTATGAGAGGACAACCTTCTGGTGTTTCTAGTTCCTGTCCTTGAGATGTCCATTGCCCATCCCAACACCAGCTGAGATCCTCTCAAAAGTATGTTAGAGTTTAAATAATTGTTAGAAATTTTAAACACACACCCACTCACAATTCCCTGACTTTTGCCAGCTAAACTTTGCAAGATTTCAGGAATCTTGCCCATAAATCCCAAATCTATGTCCTTGCATATATTTGAGTCTGTAAATCATGTAGATCTGTTAGAAAGATTTAGAGAATGGAAAGCGTGCTGAGGGCACTCTCACAAAACGGCTGCTAGAGCAACATGGCTGCCATGACTATTTCCTTGTGGTTGACCTCCAATTTGAAGGCTCAAAACAGCTTGTGTGATGCGCACAGAGATTGGGAAAGGAAATAGGCCCAACTGAGAGCAGCAACCGTCACACTCCAGAGCAGGCCCACATAATGTGTGACAGATGAACTTAGCCCAATGGGCTATAAGATAAGAGTGTGGGAGAAGTCTGGCTGGCATGTCCCTGCTGTGGATTTTCTGGGCAGCTTCTGCTGGAAACATGATCATGGGCTAGAGGACCTTTGCTCTAATCCTCTGCTGGTCTACGAGCGAAATAAACGGTTTGATTGATGGGTTGATTGCTCTGATCCAGCACGGCTTTTAGTGGTGCTGCTTTTTTTCATCAGAGGAGAGCACATGGTGTTGGGGAGTACAGAGATGGTTGCACAGACACATCCTCTCATTCTGGATTTAAAGGTCAGCAGACAGAATACTGCTGGAGATTTGCTACTTATACTCCCCTTGCTATTTTAAGCCAGACACAGCACACGTATAATGGTTTCCAGTACAAGGAATAACCTTTTTGGTAGCTTATTCTGTCTTGCTGCTCAGTGAGAGAGAGAGGAAGATGGGTAAAGGAAAATCCAGAAAAATCACTCCCTGAATACATTCCTTCAAAGCTTCTGGCCACAGGGCAAGAAGTTAAATGGGGGTGTTGTCTCTGGTTTCTTTGGTACCAATCAGTTAAAAAATATCACCTCCTAAATACTTAACAGTTGATGGAGAACTGAGTTTGGGAAGTTGACAACAATAGGAATAACTACTGTACTTCCGATCAACAGACTCTTGTGATTGTTTTTTTTTTTTTTAATGCCTTTGGAAATGTTATTGACAACAATAGGAATAACTACTGTACTTCCGATCAACAGCCTCTTGTGATTGTTTTTTTTTTTTTTAATGCCTTTGGAAATGTTATTGACAACAATAGGAATAACTACTGTACTTCCGATCAACAGACTCTTGTGATTGTTTTTTTTTTTTTTTTAATGCCTTTGGAAATGTTATTCCCATTGTCTCTTCTCCCCCTTACTTTGTGTCTTTGTGCATTGTATGCTCATATTTTCAGCACACTTTGTAAACAGTAATTAGTGCTCAGGTTAGGACCACAAGCACCCTTTAAAAAACCATTTCTTAACGAATGACTTGGTTTTGAGCTTAACCCTGTCCAGGTGCTAAGATACCTGAGACATAAGTATGGGGGACAATACCTAATGAGAAATAGACTGCTTTGAAGGTGTTGCTTCTGTTTATCAAAATGGTAGTTAAGTATTGAAGAATGGATATTGAAATTAGTAGAATTGGCTGAGATGGCGAAACTCACTGCTCAGCTCAAAGACAGGGCCCTGTCCAACTTTGTCTCTAATTGGAAACCACTCTTAGACTTTTGGCTTGATACTCAAAAAAAAAGCAACCTTGATTTTGGGATTTGCTGTTAAACTTATAGAAATACCTTGTACAAATCATATGTATGATTAATTTTTAGGAATCTTTCTGAATATTAGATTAACAACTATTTATTACTATGTACATTTTTAGATATTAGAGTAAGAGGCGAATATATTTTCTATCTATACCTGCACCAAGGAAAGTTGGAAGCTACTCTCTCTTTCTCGTGTCCCTTTTTCTCCCCCCCCTTTTTTCTTCTTTTTTCCTTTTTTCCCCCTTCTTTTTTTCTTGATTTTTCTGTATTTTAACTTTTGTGGAAAACTTAATAAGAACATTGCATGTCACCCTTTCCCAATGTTTTGGGAGCTGTGGGTCACTCTTATATTCTATTATGATTGCTTTTAGTTGCATTTTTCTCTTCCATTTTTAAACTGGTTTTTGTATTCTTGTTAGCAGCTTAGAGTTATTCATTTAAGTTGGGTGGCCATATACGTTTTGTAAAGAAATAAATTTTTATTCCGCTGCCATCTGGCAGCACTCAGCAGTTAATCTCTGGGGAAGATGGGCGGCATATAATTTAAATAAATAAATAAATAAAACATGGTAAAGCATGTTTGTTCATGGCGTAAGTCAATCCAGCCAATCGTGTTTAATACATAAAGCATGTTTAAGTAAGCCATGGCTTAGTCCAATGCGATAATTTGCCATTGTGCTATTATTGCCAGCTTATTTGAGAGACGCATAGAAGATGTTATGTGTTATGTGATGTTATGCCTTATGTGGCTGAATAACTTGCCAAGCATTGAGTAATCTGTAGCTGGACTTGCTACACCATTTGTTGTTCTGATCCAGATAGCAAACATCTTAAGTGAACTCTGACAGCTACAAAGGACTCCCTTGCATAGCGTTGTCACCATCACAGAAGTGTTCCTGTTGAAATGCAAATTGAGGCCAAGCATGTTGTCAAGGAGGCTATTTAATACTAACTCAACAGACAGCCTAGAGTTTCTTACAGAGGCATTTATGTTTCCCATTTCTAGATCCGTTGTGATCCTGAAGTCCAGGAATTACGCCAGTGGCAAAAACATTTGAGGGAGACAAAGAACATTAACAAACGGGTACGAGAGTTCTGGGCCAATCAAGAAAAGAAAGGTAACTAGGCTGACATGGTTTGTTCTCAAGAGGTCAGTGTCAGAACTGAAAAATGTTGGGCTGGTTGATAAGTCAGATCAGCTTTTCTCAACAGTGTATGTTAGATTGCACCAGATTACAGCTTCCCACTAAGGTAGTAATGGCAAACCTTTTGGGCTCCGCGTGTCAAAAATTCAGAAAATGCCTAACTTGACTCTTCTGGCATCTCACCCCCCTCCCCGAACAAAAGAGAAACAATTCTTTACATATTCATTGATTTAAAAAAAAATGCAGTCCAGTCATGTGTGATGCTATGTTTTATATAAAGAAACATCAAATAATTACAAAAATGAAATACAAGTAAAAAAAACTCAGTTTCTTTGGTAACTCAAACAAGGAGAATAATTGTTGCTAGGAGCTGGTGAACACTGGTGTGTCACCCAAAATATCGTGGCGTGTCACCTTTGACACACGTGTCATAGGTTCACCACTAGGAAATTGAACTCCAACCCATTGGGGCTATGGTCTTGGGAAGGATGGATTATATGAACAGTAAACACATTTTTGATTAACTAAAAAAGGGACACCCATCATACTCCTACCACCACTCAAAAGTTGAAATAATCAGGCAGCAGGATTATTTTGGAAGAATAATTAATTATTTTATTGCAAAAATTTAAGAAAGGCCACATGTACTAAGTAATTCCTCATTTCCTTGCACGCACATAATTGAATGCCTGTTCTTAAATTGTAGCCAGACTTCATCTTTGGCCTAAGGGACACAGAGATCATAAGATTGTGTCCAGGAAAAAAAAGAAGTATGTGTGTGTAAGTGGAAGATTTGCAATCAAGATGAAAAAAAATTAACTGCTATCTAGACCACTTTACTATCACTGGAATTATCACTCCCCTGTTTGGTCATTCTTTCAATAACAAGCCTAACAGAGAATTAAAAATAATTTAACAGATATATTTTGTTGATAAACATTGGTTGACGTGGCCCTGCCAAAAATTAGGAATTAGTACGATATCTTTCTCTCTAGCTTTCTGGCAAATCATTCTTTGAGATCAAACATCCATGTTTCTTTTGGGCAACAGTTTGCCTCCAGAAGCATAGTTACACCAATGAAACTTAGATATTAAAAAAAAAAAAATCTCCTTAGAATCCTACTTGAAGCTCTAACCCTAACCCTAACCCTTGGATCAAGATTTTTTTTTTTTAAATTTTCCGCATTGTATGAGTTGAAGCCTACTTTTTTGATATTGCCATCATTATTGATAGGAAATAATACGTGAGAGTGGTAATAAAATGTTCCATTATGGAGAGCTTCTGTTCCATGTGCCCACCAGTCATACCTTCTCATGATGTTGTTTCCTCCTTTCCCTCTCAGTCTCCCCCATCTGTCTTCCTGATCATCTGTAAAGTTTTCTTGCAATTTAAAGGTGCACTCTTGAAAGAAACTAGTATGCGTTGAACAATGAAGGGGTTGGAAGATGCTTTGCTCTTTACTTTATGGACACATCCAAAAGTGTTTTTCATCCATTGCATATGAAGAATATCATGATGGCAATTCTGTCCGCCATCTCTGTGCTAGCATTGTTCTGTGAAGACAACTGGTTCTTGTGTCCCAAACCCAGATATCTTAGCTCACAATTTATTTGACCGCTCTTGTTCTTCCTGAAGTTATGGTAGTGATTAAACCATTCTCCCCACCTCCTCAAATTGCAAAAATCCCCTCTCACATTATTGGATGGAGGAAGAGAAAAATATTTCCCCTTTTCTTTCACTACGTTTATTTAAAAGAACTGTCCTTTTTTTTAAGCGTTTTACTCACCATGAGTTGGCAGACCCAAGACTGAGGATTTCATAAGCCTGCCTCTTTGGGGCCCATCACATGATAACAAAATTGTTTATTCGGTTTTTTTTCCCACCCAAACAATGGCACATCTGTGCTTTGCAAACAGCAGCCTTCATTCAAAATGTGCACAAAAGCTACCGTTCTCTTTCCTGAAACTTTGTAGTTCAGTGTTGAAACTTATCAATGGGCATGTGTCGTGATTTGGCACTTGTGTGTAACTTTCCCCTTATTGAATGCTTGAGATTCTCTTCCTAGTTTAGGAATACTAATATCTTTCTAAAGGACTGATTCTGTTGGTAGTTGTGGAGGCTGAAGTCCACCTGATAATTGTCTGTCCTGTGTCATCAGAGAAAGCTTCAGAAATACCCGTTTGCGGCCACACCCTGGAGGATGTCTGATGTGGTTCCCTAGGACTCCCTATTTTATCAAGACAGCCTTGTGAGTTAGAATGATTGATTGATCGATAGATCAAATCGGTGGCACCCCAGTTATCCCAGAGTAAGCTAACTCACAGCAATGGTATTTCCCATGACACTTCATGGAAATGAAAGTTGGACTTTGAAGAAGCAGGATAGGAAGAGTATTAGCACTTTTGAACTATGGTGTTGGAGAAGACTCTTGAGAATACCACGGACAGCCAAGAAAAGAAACCAATGGATCATCAAATAAATGAACCCAGAGGTCTCACTCAAGGCACCAATGACCAGGCTCAAATTATCCTACTTTGGATGCATTATGTGAAGAACTGACTTCCTCAAGAAACCCATAATGCTGGGAAAGGTGGCAAGAAAGAGAAGAAGAGGAGGACCAGCAGCAAGGTGGAAAGTACAGTGGCGATGGGGGCACCGTTGGGAGACCTGAAGGACCAGGCTGCCTACACTGTGCTGCTTAAGCTTAGAAATATCTGCAAGAGGGTTTATGCCAAATGACAGCCTTTCATTTAATATTTTTTTCTTGATTGGGCCTCCCCTCTTCCCTCCTCCACACACATGCACACAGAATTGTGAACTGTCCTTTCAAAATGAAGCTAGCACTCGTTCTGTGTGAGCCTGGATGTTAAAGAGCGTTTGTGTCTGCATCCAGTGCCATTCAGGTGCCAGGGAGGGTGCAGACACTTGATCTCATCAGCAACAGCTGAGAATGCAGTGCTTGAAGCCCCACGGCCCCACGGAGAGGTCAGTGCTGCTGCAGTGGTCCAAGTCTGCAGTGTGTGTGTGTGTGTGTGTGTGTGTGTGTAGGTGTCTTGGAAACTCTGCTTTGAGAGGAAGCAAAAGCCAGGAAGACTGTAGTAAGTCTGAAATGCAAGGTCTCTGCCATCTCACCAAGAACAAATTTGCAAAACACAGCGGACTCTATCACCCCAGACTAGATTTTTTTCCCCCAAGTGGAATGTCCTATGCCTTCTTAAGACCTGGATCCAAATGCCGGCAGCTCCGATGACCTTCTGAGGTGCTTTGAGCATGTATACTTCACCCCAGCCCTTGCTGTAAGGTTGCAGCTGGAGGTTTCTAAAACTGAGTTATCTTTCCTTTGCAAGACTGTACACTTGATGACTCTCCAAATGTCTGTTTCCCTTTGCCTGCCAGCCGTCTGCATTGGCAGGTCCTTCCTCTCTCCTTCTAAACCACTTATTTATTTTTATTTATTTATATTTCAAATTTGTCCCCGCCCTCTCACCACAGAGTGACCATTGCCTTGCACTACTTGCTTAGGCTGCATTCTTAATACTACCTCTGGGGAGCAGATGCCACGGAAGGAGCAAACGCCACTGGGGAGCAAACGTCCCTAGTATTTCCGACTTCCTGGCTGTGAGTGTCATAACTCTTATAGTGCAACCTTCAGCTGACTTGGAAGGAAGTCAAAGACTCCTTGGGGGGAAAAACAACAAAACTGAAACTGTCCATCGAACCCTAGGGATGGTCATCAGCCAAAAGATGTTGACCAATTGCTAGATGGAGTTGAACAGAAGTGGGATTTCTGACCATAGCCTCCTAAATCATCTGACTTTGGCCTGTCATCCCTACGTGACTACAGGGGAGGAAGTAGGGACTTTTACTCCTATTGTGGTGGTGATTTGTTGCTTTATGGTCACTCTGAGCACGCCAGCCTCACTGTGTTTAGAGCGTTGCTCAACTGGAGCACCACTCTCCAATCACATGGCTAACATTCCTTTTTGACCTACGTTATACTAGAAACTACAGCAACCACCACCGTGCACGTCCTAAGGCATCTCCTTATCAATCTTTTTAAATCAAAGTGACTGGGGATTTTTTTTTTTTTTAAAAAAGGCACCTTTAGTTGGATTCATACATCACACAAAGCCATAATAAGTCTTGCTTAGTTGGAGCAAAGTAAATCCACTTTTAGTGATTTGTCAAACTTACATTATGGCTTAGCACAAGGCTTCTCAAACCTTATAGCGCTGTGACCCCCCTAAAATAATAACAAAAGAATGATTTAATTGGAGTTAGGGTTGGGCAAGACATAAATATAACACTTCTGATAAGTAAATATAATTATTATAGCTTTATGTTACAGAGATTCTCAAACTTTTGCAGTTGCTTCTTGTGGCTTGTGCAGGCACAGTGAGGAAAAAATCCTGGAGTGTTTGGGATGTGCTTCCTTCCTGCTTGTCCAAGACTGATGGAGTTCTTTACAAAATTGTGAGCCTCCCCATCTAAATTGCTTGTGAGCCCTGGGGAATCTTGACCCACAGCTGAGAACTGTTAGCTTAGCATGAATTGCAAAGCTAGCTACTTGTGTTTATTCCACAAACTGGCTTTGTGTGATCAGCCACCAGCAATAACTCATCTCCAGTCAGAACTTTAGGTGGAATCCTGCACTGGTAAGACAGAAACTCCACAACCTTTCCAAGGTTACCCAGTAAGTTTTATGGTAACTCACATGCTTTGGGCTTGTGATATGAGCAAATGATGGACTAAAAATAATAACTGTGCTTCAAAAGGCTGAAGGAAGAAGATTACAATGGATAGGGTGGATGGAGAGATTACTGTTATGTTGGGGGGCATTTGTTCAAGGAGACCATGAGTTGAGCCCAACTTGATGGCATTTTACTGATCCCTGACCCCATCCACATCTATTTAAATATCTATATACTAATATTTTAAAATTGTTGACTGCTGAAAATGTTATCTTATTAAAAACATTTTCAACAGTCAAAAATTTTAAAATATTAGTATATAGACATTTATATTATAAACCCCCAAATATGTGGTATTATTTTTTTTTCCAGTGGGAACCAAGCTGGAAGACTCTGTGCAGCCCAGCCCAAATCTCTCAAAAACCGTATTTGCGGAAATCTCACAGAAGCCTGAGGTCGTACCGAAGATTAAAGACCAGCCAAGCACCTCCAAGCCTGCAGAGAATTCATCAAAGGTAAGATGCTTTGGCCACCAATCTCTTTTAGTTATGAAGTCGTATTCTTCAGAATGATGGGTTCAGGAGTCCCAAACCATCAGCGTGATGGTGTAGGGCATAAGGGAGGTGACCTTGAGAGAAATATGCAAGAACTGTTAGCTAAACAAAGGGGGCTGAAACATTCTTTAAGCCTGGGGAAACAAGATAGTATTTGAAAGTGATTCAGGCAAACACCTCCCTGATTCATTGGAGTATAAGGAGGGGAGGTATCTGTACCTTTCTGTTATTATAGCCTAGGGGTCCTCAAACTTTTTAAACAGGGGGCCAGTTCACGGTCCCTCAGAATGTTGGGGGGCCAGACTATAGTTTGAGGAGGGGAGGAGAGCCGCCGGACCCGGCATACCTGTTATGTAGAATAGTCCGGCTCTGCAATCTCCCTCTTCATGCATTGCCTGCAGCTCCTGACACAGCCCCAACACTTCCACTTCTGACAGACAGACAGCGGCGGCCAATCAGGCGGGCAGACCAGATAAATGACCGTGACGGGCCAGATATGGCCCGTGGGCCGTACTTTGAGAACCCCTGTTATAGCCTATCTTAATAAAGTGTGGCTCTGGTTCTGTGGAGTTGATTTTCTAGTCTACCCCATGGGGCTGACAGCTGGTTAAGGGGTACAGCTTTGCTGGAGTAGGTTTATTGATCTATAGAACAAGATCATGCTTTAGACATACTGGTACCTAAATTATCTTCTGAGCCTCTCAAGGCAGAATAACACAAGACAGCCTAGGGGCTTAATTCTTAGGAGTCCTTTGATTTAAATGGATAAGTCCATCACAACATTGCGTTTTAGTTTAAATGTCGATAGTGCAAAATGTGAACCTACTCACTCAGCCATAATGAGGCTAGTTTAGATTCCAGTTAGTGTGTGTGTGTGTGAATCTAGCATTGTAGATTCATTGTAATCCATTGTTTATGATTTAAAATACTGGGCAAATCTAGACAATTGTGGTTAAACGTAATCAAGCAAACTACGGCTACCAGGGCAAGTCCAAACTAAAGATCCTTTTGAACAAATGCAATCAAAAATCATACAAATATGCATCATGGATCTCCCCTCTCCTCCCCCCCCGACAATGGAATCAGCACCTCTATTAACAAAAGCTTGGCTAGATTGGAATATCTGGTTCTACTTCACTTTTTGCTTTGGTGTGAGATGCATATTAACTGGAGTTTGTAAAAGAACGCTGGGAAGGCCATCTGAAATCTTTGGGGAGTGAACAGGTCCCATTGCCCCTATTGCCTTGTGGCAGTTTTGAGTTTTTGGAAGTTCTTATGTTTTATTATGTTTGTATATTTTATGGTATCAAGCATCAGGAGTTGTCCTCTGAATCGGCTGTAGATAGATACAATAAATAAATATGCCATTGTTATGGGCTCCTATTCATCCAAACAAATTATAAATGCCTCAAAGCAAAGATGATCTAGGATAGTAGTTCTCCAAGTGAGGTCTGAGGACCTCTGGAAGTCCCCAAGATCCTTTCAGGGGGTCTGCGAAGTCAAGTAAATAGAAATTAAAACTGGGAAATTTTAAAATATTTAACACAGTAAATATTGATAGATATAGATATAAACCAAAGAGCCTTGGGGTCCTGAATCATATTTAAGAATGCAAAGGGGTCTTGAGACCAAAATGTTTGAGAACCACTGTCCTATAAAAGCTGCTTGCCATCAATTTAAAATAGAGCCTTTGGTAGCTACATGGGACTGTGTTCTCACGACGAACCAATTTCACTGTCACCCAGGATGTGTCGCAAACCCAGTCTGTGCAATTGGTTTATAACCATCTGATGTGCTAACTGAGAAAATGTTCTCCCTGCACCTTCATTCTAGAAGCATTAGCAGCTGCAAGGATCAAAAAGATCTCATGGGACCAAATTTGGCTACGGCAGCTGTGCTCAGTGAACTGCACCGTCGCGTGAACATTGAAACACAAAGCCTTTAAGCAAAAAATGACCAGGCCATTGTAAGTAAATAGTAATTCTTTATTTTTTTAATTTTTATTTTCTTCATTAAGAACAGCATTTTGAAAATAAAATGTATCTTTCTGCCCAGGCTTTACAATTCTGTTTTTGTTTTGTTTAAATTTCATATCTCTTATGTACAGTCAATATGGTACACATTGATTGTCTCAAAAACCTTCCAAAGATGTAGAATATGAAATGGTACGCAACAGTCAGCAGGATAGGAAAGGGGAATATTATAAAAATGCACATTAATACATTTAATAAATATTTACATATATTATCAAAAGAAGAAGAGAGCACTTGTCATTTAATAAAAAGCACCGGTTGGGTTATCTGGTAGGATAGTAGAGGAGTCAAATCTATTTTTTTTTTCAAATCTCCTAATAAAAGCTACATAAGCTTCTGATTCTGCTGCTTTTGTTTAGAACTGAAGCTTCAAGCAGCAAATTAGCCAAAGCAATGATGTTCTAGAAAAGCAGATTTCAGCTAGTATTGGAAGACATCTTACTTAACTCAGGATTCAGCCTGGAAATGATCGTGCCCTTCTTGGGACCCGCAATCATTCTGATATCATAGACATGGAAGCACAGGCCTTCTCAAACATTGGCCATGATGATGGAACACTCTTTCACAGCTTGGACACCCTCCGGATGCATGGACTTTAACTCCCAGAATTCCCCACCAGGGTAGCCATTGAGTATTCTGGGAGTCCAAGACTCATGATTTTGCTCTCATCAGGAGAGTGCCAAGGTTGAGAAGGCTGAGCTAGGAGGAAGAACTCGTTATCCAGGTGATCCCCACATAATTAAAGCTTAATGGAAATGGACAGTAGATTAATGGGACTGGATACACATCTCAGACTCAGAGCCAATGACGTCAAGCCAGAAACCTCCTTGGGTTCTGATTGGCCAGCCCTGTTTTCCATGTATTTCATGCATGACCCTCCAAGCTATTCAGCTGTGGAAAAGGGGTGCAGCGGACAGGAAGTTAAGACTACTGGACATGCACCAAGATTAGTAGAACAGAAGCATGCTTAACGTTTTTTGGAATGCGTCTACGAGGCCCAGCACTGTTAAAAGTCACTGGAAAGGTTGCTACCGGCTTTGGGGAAGTACAGCTTACAAGCAGTCAGAGTCAGCCCAAGAAACTGAAGGGAAGGAAAGGAAGAACAAGTTGGTGCTCCCACCCCATGCAGAAAAGCCTGGCAGATCATGCTTCCTCTGTGGAGACAATGGCCTACCATCCTCCACCTAAGGCAGCAAGCAAGCAAGCATGGAGAACATGCTACCCAACTCTCTCCTTCAACCCTTTGCCACCGCTTATTAGCATTTGCTACTTGATGCCAGGGCTCCAGGACCTGGGCTGCAGAAATCAAGGCAAGCTCTAGGTGGCTGCAAAGAGGTACAGAAAACTCTACCTTTCTGTTGCCATCTGGTGGTCAGTTGGATGTTTCCAGCCCAGTTCTGGTAGTCCTACTAAAACAACTCACTCTTATGCCAATCGATAGAACATGGAACTTGGCTCGCTGTTTGGATTGCATCTGTAATTCAAACTGTTCCTTTTCAATTGGCTGGGGGAAAATTCATCTCCCCAACTTCTACGTAATCACCTTCTATACCATGCCTTTCTATCATTGGGTGGTTGCTGTATTTTTCTGAAGTTATATTAATTGGCAATCATAAAGAACAGAACAACTTTTATGCTTCCCAAAGCAAGCTACAGGGAAACCCAGGCAGTTCTGCTTCCTGTTATTAAGTGCCTCCCCAGACGCTCTACATTCATAACAACTTTCTTCAAAAGGCAAACATACAACTTTGTAACTTTTAACAAAAAGAAATATAACTTAACACAAGGGTGCCTTTTAAAAGGTTTCTAACAGAGGCATTTGGGGGGGAGTGGCAGCAGCAGTGAACATCAGAAACCACAGACTGACTAATAATAATAATAATAATAATAATAATAATAATAATAATAATACTTCAAGAAAAAATAAT